GTGGCCACAGTTTGTAGTTAGCTGCTAAATAAAATGCATGAATGAGTAAACCAGCCAACACTAACCGGGTGATTCCGAGCGTACCAATCTCCAATGAATATGACAATGTCACTATGTGGAGTGTCAAAAGGAATAGGAATGACAGGTCTGTTGTTAATGATGAAACCCCCAAATCCACCAGCTGCTCTCTGGAAATTTAAAGATGGAAAGTAGAAAAAACTTCCAATCTGATCCTTCACCTGAAACTGGTAAGTCCAGTTCCACTTTGGAGGAATGGGGCAATTTGTGCCAAGAACTCCATCTTGCCATGAGCTTCGCCTTTGCTGAATCCCAGACCTGTCTCACCCATAAAAAAAAAAGAAAAAAAAATCCATAAATTCAGCTAAAGCAACTCACCATTTGTTTTCTCAGCATCTTCAAATGCTCAAGTTCAGTTTCATACCAATGAATGAGGAGATTCTCGTCCAATTTGTTCCGAACATTGACGGCAACGTTGTTATTTGTGGTCACATTAATAGTAGGACCAGGAAACTTACCGTTGACAGCAATAACCTGCAAAAATAGCTCAGACATAATAATGTCCCTGTAAGTTCAACTTCAATTACCACACAATGCAGATCTGCAAACTACATGTAAAGTTTCAAACTTTACAAAATCGAAATTAAGCACACACCAAAAGAACAAAGAAGTGAAGTGACAATAGTAAGGGAAGGTTAGATCTCAGAAACGAACCTGCTGAGGGATTCCAAGAGGAGAGGCAGTAATGTAAGAGACAACAAAGTCGTAGGAAACAGAAGCGTCCAAGGCAGAAGACGAGCTGAAAAGAAAGCAAATGGAGATAAGACGGAGAAATAGAGCCGTTGGGGAAGCCATTGCTGACATATTGTGGGAAGCTTTTGTTTCTGCGAGCAGTTTACATAATCAGAATCAGGAGACGAAGAAGAAAAAGAAGAAGGAGAAGATGGGTGTGCGGCGTGATTTGTTAAGAGTGGAGAGTGGAGAGTGAGAAGAGAAGGGCAGGGAGCGAGGTGGGGACCGAAGAGGAAAACGGCTCTTTCTCGCAAATTTTGCTGTCTACAGCTAACGGGCAAAGTGTGATTATTTTTCTTCGGCAAAAAGGGACAGCAAACATTAGTTGGCCTTGTCTTCGAGTATTCATCATACATTCAAATTTTATAGCTTTTATCGGTTTCTAGCCATCATTTATGAAATCGATATTGACATGGATTGAATGCAAGATTTAGTTTTATTTATTATTTAAACAAATTGGAGTCACCAATTATATATATACTTCTCTGGTCAAATTTATATGACAGTTAAAAAAAATAATTTTGACTATATTGATAAAATATTTTATTATTTTTTTATATTAATTTTTATTTTTTTCTCATTAAATGTTAAAAAAATTATTAAAAAAATTTATTATATCTTTATTATAAGGTATAGTTGGAAACTTATTAAATTTTAAAATAAAGTTAATGAAATTTAAAATTTTTTTAATTTTAATAAAATAAATTAAAAATAACTTATAAATAAGATAAAAGTAAGAAAGAGAGCGAGAGAGTATATGTATAAAATGTGGCTTTAAACTTATTAACAATGTTTTTAATTTTGAAGACTAAGGTGTAACTTGGTGTATCTTTAATTTCATGTTTAACATACAAGTAAATGATTCTTCCATTAGATTCTAGAAGATACTCTCAAGATTTTTTATTATATGAGAAATTATCATATGTTTAGTTGTTTTTTTTTTTAAATATAAAGTTCAAGAAGCATTTATTTTTTTCCTAAATATCCCTTTATAAAATCAAAGTTTATTTTCACAAGACAAGTTTGTTTAATTAATTATAAGGGTAATTTAATCCAATATTTTTAATTTTATACTTAATTATTATGTTTAATTAATTTTTTAAACTGTGTGAATGCGATAAAATTTACTTACATTTAAGATAGAGGGAGTAATTTGTTAAAAAAATTGTTGGGGAGTGCAAAGCAAGCTAAAATTCTTTCAAAATCAATAAATGATATTGATTCCCTCTCCTTTGTGATTTCAAATCTTCAATACATCCTAATTATTTAAAATGTCTTCCACTCTAACCCTCATATTATTTTCCCATTTTATTTCCCATGTCCATTTTTCATTGTCATAGAATTTGAATTTTTTATAAGGAGAATGTCAACAAAAGACCTTTAAAACAATTTACTATTTGATAAGGATTCTAACAGATTGGATAGTTGTTAAAATAAAAACTTCACTTAATAATTGTTAATGTCTACTTGCTAATAGTCCTTTTACGAATTAAATTGTTTCCAAAGTTCTTTACTGATACTCTTCCCTTTTTATACTATATAAACAAAAGATTAAAAATGTATGTATTTTAAATGTAAAATTTAAATTCAAATTTATAAATCAAAAGTGCAATATGAAAATCTGAATCAACTAGCTTGATTGAGTTAGTAAACTGTTAAATTAGTAGAGAAATACTCAGGTAAATCGATTACACCACGTTGTTTGTAATCTGTTTAATAAAAATATGATATATAAATGACATTAAATAAAAATTTATTATGATATTAATAATAATAGAGAGAGAAAAAGTGAGAAATCAAATATGCATTTTATTATAAAAATAAAATTAATTAAAAAAATATCACACAATATTTTATTTAGATTACTTAAAATATTTTAATTAGACATATTATAAATGATATAATACACCCAATTTACTTAATATTTCTTTAAATCAGTATGTCAATTGATTTAATAAAATTATCGTGATTACAATTTTAATTATTAATTATTAAACCAATGTATTAACTGTGGCCATGATCAAAACAGTAACTGACACGGCATGTGGTCTGAGTTTTTATCTTTGTTTCTTGAAAGAGAAGGGAATTGAAAGTCCAAAGACAGGCAGCCCACATTTTGAGAGGGAGATGTATTGAGGAGCCCGAGAAAAGGGAAATGGTGCCTTATTAAATAAAATGGCCGAAGTTAGTTGACACAAAGAAGAAAGAACACTGGCCACCTCGTTATGCATAAACAATTGGGGAACTCTTTGGTTGGAGTTCTTTCACGTATGCTCACATTTTACGGATTCAATTCTTATTAAATATACCGAAACCCATCTCTTAGTTAGGGTAGGTTCCTTCTTTAGTTAATGATATTTAATATTTCATTATTTTGGTTGTTTATATGTGTGTGTTTGGCTCAACAAACCCACTATTCCCCCACAAGTAACATTTAATATCAGCTTATTACCATGGCCCCCTCATCCAAGCAAATAATAATTAATTAATGATTTTTTTTTTTCATTAGTCATATTTACACACTCGTGCACACCTATCTGGTATGATATTCTCTCTGTCCATAAATTTAAGTCACTTTCTTAAAAAAAAATTATCATTTTTTTATGAGACGCTAAAGTAACATGACAAAGAAAGTGTCTTGAAGATAATACTCCTCTGATCTTATTCATAAAATCCTCTAATCTTATTCATAAAATAAAGAGAGAATGCTTGTTTTGATTCTATTTATAAAAAAAAAATCATAAATAATTATTATATTTATCTTTACTATTTTGCCTCTATTAAATTAAGAAAGTTTATTAAATACTAGAATATTTTAGTTTAAAGTAATTTTATTTAATATGGATAAAGTTAAAAATTGTTAAATTTTTAAACAGAATTAATGAGATTTAAAATTTTTTTAGTTTCAATAAAAATGCTACAAATGATTGATAAATAAGACTAGAGAGATTATGCATTTAGTAAGGGTAAATTAAAGATTTTATTTATTTTTAAACAAAATTATTAATTTAACCATTTATTTTTAATTTTAATGAAAAATTAAAAATAATTTATAAATAAAACCACATTATTATTTACCAACTTTTTCCAGGGACGTGGAGGGACATTCCTTAACATTGGTCGGCGACAGAGGAACTGAGGAACTCTGACATATGTAATGAATTCGAGTTTCAGGGATGTTCGGATGGCAGGGATGTTCATGTGCCTACGAGGGGCGGCCAAGCTTTGATGATCCGAGCCCTGTGATTGATAATGACCCTTCGGCCATTGTTCACACCAAAGTCATGAACTATAACATGATCAATTGATGATGGGCCACAACACCATCGCAACGGCTTAGCTTGATTTTTCCATTTGTTTTTAGGGGAAATTAGGAAGAAGGACCTTGAGGTACAATTATTTACGAAAAACGACCAAGATCCTTCAAGTGATATATTATAACTTTAATTCATTTGAAAGATGAATCCTTTCTCCCAAATAATTTTAGAGGGAATTACATTCAGATCTCTAATAAGAAAACTAATTGTGTGTAAGTCCCGTCTATTTGTAAATATTAAAATTTAACATGTAAATATAAAAATTTAACTTGTAAATTGATTGAAAAAGTAATTAATTTTCTCCATTTGGGACATGATGTGACTCTCCTATAGTTTTACCTCAAGTCCTCCTCCCCAATTTCTCCCAGTACATGTTTGGTATAATAATAATAATAAATAAATAAATAAAAATAATCTAGATAGGAAACAAGAAATATGTTAAGAACGTGTACATTTTTCATTTCATTTTTAGAAAATAATTTACCACCAACCAAACATTACTTTTCAAATTTCAAATTGATAGATTTCCAAGAAAGAGTACCAACGACATGGATACTACTATCTCCATTTTGGGGAACAGATTCTCTCCTAACCTATCTCCCGTGGGCTCTCGTGACAAATGAAAACAAGTGGGTGTGCGAGAAACTATCTAAGATGTACAAGTTCAAAAAATTGAAATGTCCTAGTGCGTTCTAACTTTTAATGCAACAAGAGAAAACTGGAGAGAAGGACCCGGAAAGATTCCAAGCCCCTCTATTTTCGAAATTTACCTCTAATCCTTCGGGATATTTTCCAGGTTGAGGCATACCAACACAACTACACAAGCCCTCAAACTCTCACACTGCTAAAGAAAAAAGGGGAGAGAGGGAGAGATTCAACTAAAAAAGGAAGGGAATATCCATAACAAGTTTTCTCCAGGAACTGGATTTAATTTACATCCGAGGAAAATGTCGTGAGATTAAAGAGGAAGATAAAAAGATCTCGTGCGGGGGTCCCGTATTCTGTTTATTCAGTGAAAATATAAATGAACTGAGAGAGCAAGAGATCAAATTCATACATTTGGGGGTGGCCATATCTTCCCAAAGAACTCCTCCACGCGCTTCGCTTGATCAGCATTGCTATCCAGTCCAGCAGCAAGAAGTTGCACAGCTGCCGGCCCCATTGCCGAAGCAAGGCTCATTTGGTCCCACTTCACAAGCTGAATATAAATGGATATCAGTTAGCATAGAAATTTGACTATATAGCAAATTTGGCCAACATAAAATCTCACAGCAATTTATCAGTTCTTAATTTTATGTCAAGGATATATAGATCATTTTCCTTTTAATTAAAACTTGCAAGCACAAAAACTAAAACATGAAAAATTAATAATGCCACACATTTCACACACAAAAACATAATGTTCAAGAATGCTCCACATTTTTCCTCATGATCATAGTCATGTGAATTGATGAATGCAATATTGTAGAGAAAAATTTCTTCACTTCTTCGGGAGACGATTGACGAATTTAAGGAAGCCTAATAGATATTGGGATGGCACACAGAAAGGTCATGAATGATAGGTAATGCTGTTCAGGTTCTGCTGCCAGTCCAGTAATGCAATGGTCCTAACAAACAAATCTTCAGTAAAATAACAAAATACATTCTTTACACCAATAAAGTGAGAACAACTTGTCTTCTAGATTTTTTTTTTTTTTTTTTTTACCTGAATACTTTAATTTTCATTAAACTGAGGGGCATAAAGCCAGCAAACAAAATACATCAGACAACAGCACAGAAGAGAAGCAAACAGAGACGAGTAAGCGAACAAGCAACAGAAAACAAGGAACAAAGGAAGAACAAAAGCAGGAAAACAAATGAAAATAAACCCCTCAGTAAAGTCATCCAATTACATCACGATCATAGCCATCAGCAGCAGCTAAACCACAAGAAATCTAAGTTCTTTGAGCATCTCGGTCAAGAGAAGCCACAAGAGAAGGTGTTGGTAATTCCACCCACCATACAGAGTACACGTCCTTTCTAACATCAGCTGCAATAGAATTTGCGGCACAATTCCCTTTTCGAGTGATTAGGGAGACAGAAAAGCCCATGTAAGAAGCCAAAAGCTAATGCTTTCCTCTATACTAATGCTTCAGTCATGAAGACTGTACTTGCAAGTTGCAACCACATTGTCTCCATCAATGTTTTAAAAGCTAGACCAGACATCAAATTGAAAAGACCAATGGATCTTGGTTTTTATGGTTCAATCATTTAGACTAGCAATCAAATTGGTGACTTAAAAATTAAATAAAAAAATAATATTAAATACATACGTACATACATACATACAAAAGAAACAAATCCACAATATGCTTAGTTGTCAATAATATAACACCACATTATCATAAATCAATATTATAAGTTATAATTTTATAACTTGTTAAACATAGGAGGATTTTGGTTAGACCAAGCATGAGTTGTCTCAAAAGTATCTACATTTGCACTATAGCTATCAACCACTTCATGGAGAAATGATCCCAAATCATATTATATACATGTAAAGGGTCCAAAAATGAAGTGGGCTTTTTGAAGGGTCCAATTTTTGGATTTTTCTAGGTCTTTTAAAAGTTTTTTTAGCCTTTTTTTCATATCAGGTTCAGACCCACCTGGTAATCTGAAAGTTGTTTTGGGTTCCAACTCAACTTCAATTCCAGTTCAATGGAGGCTCACCTATTGTCCAACCCAGCTCAACTATGAAAATAATATTCTGGTTCAAACCAAGTTGTTAGCGAGTTTGGTTGATAATTCAACTGGTCTGATTCTTGAAACATTGGTCACCATAGCGCCACAAAAAAGAACTTGAACAATTTCTACAAAGAATGCCTAGAGATGCAGGTTCCATTGCAAAATACTCTCTCTGGTCCTTATTATAGAACACTTTCAACTGTTTCATACATCTTAAGAAAATTTAGTTTTTTTTTTTGATATCATAAAAAATGAGATATACCTTTATTTTTATCATTAGCTTTAAATAATGATATAACTACATGAAATATATTCACGTTAATCAATAAAGGATAAAATTGAAAAAAGTAGTTTAAATATTAAAAGGTGTTTTACCTTTTAGACCAAAAATTATTTTTAAAAGGTATCCTGCGAATAGGACCAGAGGGAGTAAAGGAACCATCATAGTTCACTTTCATCATTTTACTCCAATCTGTCAATCAACTAGGCACTCTGATCTTCACATCAACAATAAGAACATCCAACCAGTATTCACACGGGGGAAACAATTGCTCAAAAACTCAGAGGAAAGGCTATCACAGTGGGTGACAGCCTGAAAAGGAGACGGACAAGAAAACCACACCCTAAAAGTGAGAGAACCAACCCTATCGTGCTTCTTCTACGACATATAAAATCTAAAATTAAATAAGATATAACATTCATTGAAAAATAAAATAAGATTCATTGTTTTTTTGTTTATTTTCTATGTTAATAATTTAATTATCAAAATGATGTCCCTGATCCTTCAAATAGTAAAATCTGATCCAATTATGAGGAAAAGGAAAAAAAAATAAGAAGTGAACATGATAGAAAGCCCATATCCTCCAGAACGGTAAAATAGAGGGCACTTTGGCTCTTCATTTCTTCCACAAGGATAAAATTCCCAAGAAATAATAGCATTCCCTTTGTCAACGTGCAGTTAGCCAGATACTCTTATCAATTGAAAAAAGGTGCCACTCAACTGATATTTTTGTTCCGTTAATAGTTATCATAAAATCTGACTCACTACCATGCTCTTGCAGTTCCAATTTGCGGTTCTAAGCTTATAAAGAGAAAAGTGAAATTGCATTTGGAGCTAAGTCCGTACCTCTTCATCACTAAATGCATAATTAGCAGCAGACTGAGGGGACAGCCTTCTAACAAAAGAGTATTTCTCATCAGGGGAAGTGACAGATTCTTTAAGAGTCTGCAAAACCTTCAATGGTGCTACGATATAGTCAACCCTATGCAAGAAGCAACCAAAAGCAAAATACTTTATACTTCGCTTTCTACAAAATCAAACTTGAATCCGCTTCTGAATCAGATATCATGGAAGGAAGTATTTCAATACCCCAGAAGACTCAATAAGTCCTGCTTGTTGCGAACAGCTGCTGCCATCAACTTTGACTTATGTCCATATTTATGAATATAATTGTAAGCCTTTCTCACCTGCAATAATAATAATGCTAGAGAATGTCAGTACTATTTTTACTCTTGATTCTATCACTGGAGTTGAGAAAACCAAGAAGATCCCAATAAATCATACCAAGGTAGCTGACTTTCACTTAGACAACACAGATATTGTATAGGCTTTACTTCTAAAAGTTTCAAATAAATTATAGATGTGATTTTACACCCAAAAAATAACTTTTAAGCAGATCTAAAGCATAACAGCAATTTTGCATATCTAACCAATGCCAAACCAGGATCTTCTCCTCTTGCAAGGGCAGATTCTATCTCTTGGTCTCCTGAATGATTCCGTGCCCAGTCCTGAAAGATGACATTATTTAAAAGATTGTAAAGTGAAGATCTGCACGTGTTGTTCTCATTCACTGGAGGTACAAATTACCCTAAGGCGGCCAACAAAAATTTGGATAACAGAAGCACCAGCTTGGGCTGCAGCAGCAGCTTGAGCAAAGCTGAACAAAAAGATAATTTTATCAAATGACTAGGCATGTTGGGGGGAAGATTGCTTGGATCAACTTGGAAAAACAGCTAGATAATAGACACTAACTAGTAGCTTTGCAAAAGAACCGGAGGAAAATTCATATATCAATGCTCAACTGATTTTTATTATAGTAAATGCTTCTTAAAGAATCAGAAGCCAAAAAAAAAAAAACATAAAATTTCTAATTAAGGAGCATGATGTCATCTGTTTTGATTTCCATGGTATTAAAAAAAAAAAAAGGAGCATGATGTCGTCCTATAAGGCTGAACCATTAGATTCCTAATTCAAACAAAAGAAGTCATTGCACTAACATACAATACAACCATTTCAAATCAGTTTAGGCTCTACCAAGGCATTTTCCCTTACCGCGAATGCTGGGAGAAGGAAAAGCAACCAGCTTTTGGCTAAACACATGATACAACAAGGAAAAATGGCATAGATTAATGTTCTGAAGCAATTTGAGATAATATGCCTATTTTTTTATATAGGTTTTTATATTAGTGCTTTATTTCAATTTACATCCTCTAGACGTCATTTCACAGGGACCATTTTCTTTCATTCATGAACATTAGGTTTAGGGTTGCTTTCCCTGTCATCTAGAGAAGCCTTCAACCTATTAGAAACTAATCCAGAATAATCATTGCTTTGGAACAAAGATATAATATTCCCTCTAAATCAGTCTTATGTTGGCGAGAGAATGTGAATATAATTTATTCATTATGATCCTTAGGAGCTTTCTATAGCCACTCTTGGAAATACCTGTAAACAAAGGTCAAATGTGTTTGTATACCCTCAGATTCAAGCAATTTTGCAGCCTCTATTCCCTAAAATGAAAAATAAACAAAAAAATAGGCCATAAATTCAATAGCACATGAAGTTTAACTCAAAGCTATCATAACAAATCTGATTTGCAATATCACTCACTTGCCAAGTTGAAGGAATTTTAAACAATAGGCGTTGAGGAGGAACATTAATATCATTATACAACCTCAAGAGGTCATGCACCTGTATAATTTGATAATTAGTAGCATTAAATTGCAACATGACACAAAACAATAGCAGTCATGAAGGTGAAAATTCTGTAGTTCTGTGCAGAAATTCAAAAGTCACAAAATGAATGACTTTCATCAAAGCTGATTAAGAGGCATCAACTCTGAAAAAATGGTGTTTGCATAATTTACAAAAGGAATATCAACTCTCCCTTAAATTTGGAGTTGCTCACATGACCACGATGCTCTCCACCAAGTAAATATGGACATCTATGCACAAGTTCATGTATTTTCATGCCCAAAATGTTATCATTGTTCTTTACGTACAAAATACCATGGCACTTAGTCAACTCAAGGATAGGGAAGACATCTCACATTTACATTTGTTTTCAAAGAGTTTGGATTTGGCATGGCAAAAAGAAGGCAATAAATCCCTCGTCACCTTCAACATTATAATTATAAATAATTGAATATCATGTTCAAGAAGAAGAGCAATCAAACTTTTGATGTTATATTTCTCCCCAGTAATTCTTCCTCCTTAATATACTGATGGACGTGCAGATGCATTTGTATAGAAATACAATCAATTAGACACCTTCCTGATGATTCCATGTGTGTCATAAGCAAGGCGTGCATCCACTTCAGTTGAAACACGACCAGGGACTAGTTTTGCCATATCACCCCCCACATTCACTAAAGCCTGCAAATGGAAGACCGTTTTCTTAACATAATTACAAGTGGAAATGTTGTTTCAAATTGTTCTTATATCAAGCTCTCTTGAAAATTAATTAATTAATTAATTAAAAAATAAATTGTGACAGGTGAGCAACTATGATGGAAAATACCTTGTTAAAGAAACAAGGCAATCTTGCTTCAGAACTTGCCAGCCCGGAACACTCAGAATCTGCCAAAGCCATATCCACAGCATTCTGGGCAAAAGACAATGTAATTAATCAGACCAAAGCGCAGATGAAACATTCTCAAATCTGACTCGTTTTCAAGGATGAGATGCTGACCCTAAATATTGTGTCTGGAAGGCCACATATGCCCAGGAGAAGTGATGAGCTGACTGTAGCAGCGGTTGGGGGGAACCTTCATGTGAATTCATCAGCGAAAAAACAACACCGAATCAAACACGAGTGATTTGAATAATTAATCACTTGAAATTCATAGTTATCAAAGAAGAAGGACAGGGGAAAGGAGGTGGAAAACCAAAATCTACCTTTCAAAATCATCAAAAATGACGGTGTCAGGGACTATCTCACTGAAGCTTGACACAGCATCCAATTCACTGATTAGACCTGAAAACAAAATTCAGTTCGTATTCACATGATGCTAAGAAAATGAAATAAAATGAGAGAGGGAGAGACACAGGAGAAGAAGAAGATAAGTATCACTATTACCGGTGTCGAGAGAGGGAGAGGATCCAGTGGAGGCACGGATTTGAGGGAAGAGTCTACGAGATTTGAAGAGCAGAGACGGAGGAGGAGTGGAAGCAGCTGAAAGTCTAGATCGTCGCTGATGTGAAATCCAGAAGACGCCATAATGAGAACGAACAAGCTAAGGAATGAACAATTGAGAGAAAGAGCATAAGAAAATACCTGAATGCATGATGAGGATCCGAGGGAAGCAGAGGGCGGAGTCTGCGAGGTGATCGACATTTCTGGGTTTAACTTCAGTAGCAGAATGGCTGAATTACAATGCAAGGGTGGCCTGTCTGAGTGACGCAAGGCTCTGAGATTTACAAGTAACGAAACAAACGCCTACAGTACGGAAATGATAATAATATCGAAATGCTTTAATTAATTATTATTACTCGCTCCATTCCTATTCCTATCTATTTATATTATTTATAAAAATTAATATAACATTAATGACATATATTTTTAAAATGTTCTTATTCCTTTCAAACTTAAATAATAACATTAGTTTGATTAAAAATAATTTTAGGAAATTGTAAAAATGTTTAATCTTTAACTAATGTTAACTATTTTTTAATTTTTTTTAAAAAAACCATTTGTAGTCAACATGCCTTTAGAAAAAAAAATTCGGGAAAGAATATGATAATTTTAAAAGGATAAAAATATTAGAGAAAAGTTGTATCATCCGTGAATTTGATATATAAGAAGAATTTGATATTTTCGATGATGTATATTGCTATTTCCAGAGTAAGTCCTTTTCAACCTAGCCTTGCACAACTGACAATCCCCATTAATTAAGAATTTGTTATCTGAACTGAATTTTTGTCTTTTTGATTCAACTTTTCTGGTTATCTTATGTTCTCTCTCAAAGAATTGAAAGAGTATTAATTAATTTCTTTTAATTTTATTTTCTTATAATTTTTTATTTGTTTAGTAAAATGTTCCAGACACACACAGACACAAACAAAAGGATGAAAGGAACCTATGCTATCAAAGTTGGTTGCAAATTACTTCCAGGACCTCTTGCATTTGCAAATTCGTTTGGTCATTCTTGTGGAAATTACATTTTCCATACAAAATTCTTTTCTTTACATGGAAGTTAGTTCACAAAGACATTCCTACAAGAAATATTCTAAAAGCTCATCATATGCTCATCTCCATTTTTTGTGCTTCTGGACGTGTGTATGATGAAACTCTGAATTACATTTTTTGTCATTGCCCTTTCTCTAAAGCAATTTAGTTTGGCTCTTTATCTATTCACTCCACTACTATCTCAAAGATTGCTTTAATTAATTGAATCCTTGATATTTCATAGATGCTCTTTAGGTAAGGTAAACTTGATATTCTGTGAGGGATTTTTTCCTTAACCTAGTTTGGCTAAAGTGGAATCTTGCTCTACATGGTACTCTCAATCAATCTCATCCTAGATTATTGAGGAATTCTCAAGGCATTTTTTTTTAAGAATTCTCAAGGCATTTATTTTTCCTTAAGAATGCTTGCAATTGAAATTTTACAATTGGCAGCAAAACAAGGGTAAGCAAGAACATTAAACCTCAAAAAATTTCACCTCTTGCTTATGCTGAGCCAATATTAAATCATCTTCTTGCAAGATGTATCACATATAAACAGTGGAAAATCCAAATCACCAATATAAAACACAATGATTAACTAGTTATGGAGCTTCTATTACTCTCAACGGTGAAGAGTTGTGTAGAATTTTGATACGAAATGCCAATCAAGTGAACCCTCAATACTTCAGTCTTACATGTCTGCATTTGATTCTTTTCTGGATCCAAAATTTCAGGGATATTTCTCAACAATTGGGTTATCAACGTGGAGATCTTTAGATCTTTCATCATCAAGGTGTTTTTATTCCATCTAAAGTCACAAGAATTGCCAACAACATGTCGCTTGATATTCTTCAACTGTTCAAGTGTTTCATTTCTGTTTCTTCGTATAAGTAGAAGTGATGACTCCCTATTTTTAGTTATAATTGTGGTATTTTTGGTTACATTTTATGAGTCATCAATGAAAAAAAGAAGTATTTTTCTTGCTTAAATGAAAAGATGTTAATTATGTTCATCACATGGGTTTAATGTAATAAGAAAATGACTTAAGTTTGGTGAAATTGAAGAAAGCAAGCGGTTCACTTATAAAACTTGATTTTTGATAGGTGAACATCAAAAGCTCGAGCAAGGAAGAGAAGAAATTATGTAGGAAGGGATCAAGGATAGGAAAACTCACAAGTGTCATAGCAGGGCCATGAGTCATGTTAGGCCAATAAGGTGGTTATATATCTTATATAATTAGTTATTTTTTATTGCTTATAAAATATTATTGAAAAAATCAATAACAGTTACTACTCTTAAAAGAAGTTTTTTCAAATTAAAATTACTTAAATCTTATTTAAAATCGACATTGTTACAAAATAGATTAAATGAATTAGCTTTATTATCTATTGGAAGTGAAATATTAGAATTACTTGATTATAAAAAATTAATACTTGGTTTTGTAGTTTAAAAAGCTAGAAAAGTGACATGAGGATATATAAATAATAATACATTAAGCTTCTTAAATAATTTCATCTTAAGTTCCAAAACTCCTTCACACAGCCCTATTAGTCATAGCATGAGACTTATGGTGCCATAGCACCAGTGCTAAGAGAAGGAAGACAAATGGATGGTGTCTAGATGCTAGGGCATTGTCACAACAATTAAGGTGCCATGGCACTGCTAGTCATGTGCATATAATTGCTCTTTGGTGTCATAGCACACCATAGTGGGAATGTTATGACACCTATCAGAAACCCAAAATGCGCCTATACATTTTTTGTGCAAAAAAAAAAACTTTTTTGTTGTGATTTTCTAGGTAGAAGGGGCTATCTTTAGACTACTGCACCTGGAGGAAACCCTATGACAGCTAAGAAGAAAGTCGAGGAGCTTAGAATCATGAAGTGGAGCAAATCTTCAACTCTTTCTCTTTTATCAGCATTTTCTCTTCTTCTTTATCTTTACATTGATGGATTCGAACTTTACTCATGCTCTATATTGATGGATTCAAACTTTACTTTACTTGTACTATTATGATATTTTTATTAGTTATGTGCAACTAAATTTCTTTATTTTAGATGAATATGAACTTATTGTATAAATAACTCTTGATTTACTGTTGTATTTTTGAGATAGGATATTTTGATTACTTATTCTTGTGTTTTCTTGTTCATGTTTAGTGTTTGACAATCACTAAGTAAGATTTGGCCATTTGGGTTAAACCTTATAAGAGGAAACTCAAATTGAATATTGGAAATGAGGAGCTTAGAATTAGTTTAGCTAATTTTGCCATTAGAATATAAATGCATCTAATGAAACTAAGTAATCCTTATAGGTCTAGGTTTCTAATGTAATTAACTAATTAATTGGGTTAGTTAGGATCTTTGGTGGTCAAAAGATATTTTTGATTATTTTAGATTCTCAAATTATAAAAACTGACCTTCTCAACAATTAAAATAGTAAAGAGAGATTATGAAAAAAGTGGTTGAGAAATGATCGAGTCAAGCCCATATAGCCTAGTTCTTCTAAGCTCAACCTATATGGACTCAAGCTCATAAGCTTAGTTACCTTAAAATCAATCATTTTTTAAGCCTAAGGGCTCAAAGTCATCACCATAAACTTATTTTTATTAATTTTTAAATTTTGAAAAATTAAAATTTTCAATTTTCAATTATAATATTTCTTTTTCTTTTTTAAAATACAAATTATAATATTAAAAAATTTAAAATAAATAATATAAATTTTAATTTTAAAATATAAATACATATTCTAAAGTTTAAATTAAATTTAGAGCAAAAAAAATCATGCTGCTTGAGCTCCTTTTTTCATAGCCTATCAGGACTGAGCTTTAAAGCCTGATTTCCTTAAGAATGTTATTTTTTAAAAATCTAAACTTTTATGAAAACGAGTTTAAATGATCCTGTCAGGTCAACCCTCATTCCCAACTTTACTCTCCAATTAATTTTTGTGAAGTACATTTGTTGATTGAGTTTTTAAATGTGAACCTTACAATTTTCTTTTGATTTGTTTCAAGACCACTCTTGAAATTTACTTATTTAACTTGAATGATTAGTATTATTTTGTAATAACTTATTATGGGACGACCTTGACTCATTATTGTATTGCTTTTAGACCAATGTCCTTGTAGGTGTTAATTTTTAGGCATATTAAGTTTTATCATTTAACCTGCTAACTATTTCTTTTCTTCTTGTCATTCTCTATTTTATTTTCATTTGAAGGACTTTTTATTATTAATATTATCATTTAACCTTTTTACCATTATATACATACATACATATATATGTATGTTTGTATGTATGAGTATTATTTTTAAAAATAATATATTTAATAAAAATAAATTAAGAAAGAATTATATTGAAATCGCACATAAAAAAATTAATTACTGCAAGATCTATTGACAACTAAACTAAATTGTATTCACAATACTAAAATGAATCTTATAATAATTAATTTTTTTGCATGAAACTTTATTGTAATTCTCCCACTAACAAATTTCTTACATTTTTCAAGGGATATCAATGTATTCTACCCCTTCCCACCGCTTCATCCCTTCCTCGCCATCAGGGAGTTCACCTCTTCCATCACTTCAGCTAGGCATCTTTTTTCTCCACTTCAACTACCTTCTTCAGCTTCCTCTACTTCAGTGGCAATTTGCCTTGTTTAATGTCGTTTTTTCCATCACTTTATTGTTCTTGGAGATCTTGTCTCTCTTTCTTCTACTTTTCCTTTAACCTATCACCTCTCTCTCTCTCTCTCTCTGCCCCCACCTTTACCACTGCCTCCCCCCCGGGGGGCGACTTCCTCTCAGTTGTCTTATAGTATCTATTTTCCTAGTTCTTTTCTTTTCACCGACTCACTTTTACATCTTCCTCCAGTCTGTAGTCATACATCTTTTATTGCTGCCAATCTGACATCCACAATCCCACTTTTCTTCTTTCCATTTTTCCTACTTAGATTTCCATTTCTCATTCTATTTGGTCTCTGATAAGGAAGCCCAACCTAAGTTTTGTTGCCTTTTTTTAATCCCCTGCTGCTAGTAATTGGTAGTTTTGTTTCGTTGATACTTTCTGGCTTTTGGTGTTCTTTATTTTTAGAATTGTTGCCGTGCTGCTATGGTCTTTATATTTTCAACCTCATTCCACTAATTGATGGTGCAATTGATCAACAGCCACTATCTCACACACTTAGACAGTGGCTTTCAAAAACCTATAGGGAAAGTTCTTGTGGTCATGGTCGTCACCATTAAAAGAATAGATAGATCGGCATGTTAAAGTTCAGCTTCGTTAAATACTCTCTTTATCTTCAAGATTCCAGTTCCAACTTCTTATGGTTGCAGAATTGAGCTACATCAACGTTGCAGGCGGGTTTGCTAATGTCAAGGTATTGAAAACTGAACCAATCATTGAATCGATCAAGACACTGGTTTAAGAGTTAGTGGTTCAATCGGGGGTTAAACTGGAGTTAAACAGATCATAATTAAAATAATAAAATTTAAATAAAAAATATTAATTATTAAAATATTCATTCATATTTAAGATTAATATCATACAAATACAACAATAATTTTAACAATAATAAAATACTCTAATTAAAAAAAATAAAAAGTTTAAAACTAATAGAATAATATTTAAAAAAATATAAGGGTTAAAATTTCATGGTCAAAAAAGGTTTCTGTGCTAGAGTGCAGGGAAGACCAAGAAATCATCCAAAATTAAAGCTTTTCCCATTCTCTATTAATTTCACTTCTGCCCCTCTAAAAAAGAACTTAAGGTTTGCTATCTATCACACTTTATTCCTACTCTCCCATTACCTCTACGCTATGTCACTATCTTCTTTCTTCAGTCTTCGTTCGCCTTCCTTGTGAATTTGAAATTCCACATTTCCACTCTAAGTTATTGCCATGGTCAAAATCTACTAGCTTTAGTTGCAACTATGGTGAGATGAGCGACGGTGAAGTGGAGTTCCACTTCAAACGATCCCCACAATGAGAAGAGATAGGTTGATGGTGAGGGTTTTCTAGAGAGGCAGAGACAGAGTTCTTTCAACTGCTAGGGATTTCGTGATCTGAATTTGAAGCAAACAAAAACTGTATGAGACTATGGTTTTTCATGTTTTTTTAATCTAATTTCTCATTTCTGAATACATTTTTTTTAAAAAAGCTCAAAATGACCTTATTTTGAAGTTTTTTTGTTAGAGTAACTCAGTTAACCCGTCCAACCCACTGAGTTAGTCAGGCTATACCGGGTTACCTTGGGTCACCCCCGGGTTGATTGAGCCACCTTTGAAATGATTTAAATGGAAAACAGAATCGGTGAAGAGGCTGGTTCACCGATTCATTAGTTGAACCAGCAGGTCCGATCTGGTTTGGTCCGGTCCGATCTTTCATTTCATGGCTAATGTTGAAGATCTTAATATTTATTTTTATCTCTCTATTTTTTTCTCTTTCAATGTAATGAGGCTTAATTTGAATCCTTTATAAGCTTCAAGTTGTGTCTTCCCTTGTCTATTTTGTTGCCGTTGTTTGTTCATGGTCCATGTTGAGTTAATCTTCTATGGGCTTTTATCTTGTGCGTTGTGGTTTTACTTTTTGATAAAATTAATTTATTATTAAAAGGAAAGAATATTTCTTGCAACTTCTTTTTATTATTTTCGGGCTGAAACACCTTTTTTTTTTAACATTATGGACCAGGCCTATTTTTATCATATGGACATCGAATTTTATGGGCTGGAGGAATTGGGCTAGCCCATTACAAATGGAATGAACCCTATTCATCTTCAAGGACCGAGAGCACCATATGATCATCAGTTCATGTCCCGATTAACGCTCCTTGTGTATATTAATTAATGGTAACTTATAGGTCTATTATTTTTAATGTTAAAGACGTATAAATAAATAAATAAATTAAATATTAAGCATTTCAGTGAAATAAAATAAAAGCCGTCCATTCATTTATATTGATTTAATTTTAAATTTTGGATTTTGTGGAGTAAATGTATTTATTAATAGATAAGACACTTTTTGGTTTTTAGAAACATTATATGACTTAAAAAAAGGGGCAAAGGGTCATCGTTGTAAGCAAATATTTGGAAAAATAAAAGCCAGTTATGGCTTGCATGGCATAATAATATGATATATAATAATGAGGAATAAATAAGAAACGAAGAAATTGAAATGATGAATGAGATTAACCGCTGTGACAAAAAAAAAAAAAAACAAAAGAAAAGAAAAATGGTGGGCCCAGGGTGAATACTTCAAATCTTCAGAGTTGTTAAAAGTTAAAACGAATGCCTCTTTCCCTGGTTCTTGTTTTCTTCTTCCATCTTCCAATTCACAAACATTTCCAGAAATTTCATTACCTGCAACCATGAACATCCAAATTGAATTTCAATTCTTAGTTTTTCAATTTTTTCCTTTCTATTAAATTATATTATTTAGTGTGTGTCTGTACACATACATACATTTTAATCAAGCATTAAAGTGGAGCCATTGTAGGGTCTGGTCTTGCCAATCTAGCATTGGATATTTATATAAAAAGGACAGGTGGCTTAAAAAGATACTCTCTCTAATTCTATTTATAAATTATTTTCAGTATGTTTTATCAGAATAAAAAAAAATTTCAAACTTTATTAACTTTATCTTAAAATTTAATAAGTTTTTATTTTTACTCTTAATAAATATTCATAAATTTTATTACTAATATTTTTATTCAAAATATTTAATAAAGACAAAAATGTAAAAATGAACATTGAGAATTAGCAAGCTTCCTATAAATAGGATTAAGTTTTTTCTTCTTTCTTTACTCTATAAACAGCATCAGAGGAGTACTGTCTTTGATACACATAAATGATATACAAATAATTTCCATATAATTGTTGGTTTATCAGAATGTCAACGCATTAACTTTCGTTAACACATGCATTAATCTACAAAGATCTTCAAAAATATACCTATAAAATCCATTGAAAATGCATTTTTTTTTTATCAACAAAAGTTTACACATGGTATTTTGAACTTTAGAAAAGATTTTCTCTTGCTTCCTTAATTTTATAGATTGCCTTTTTAGTTCTTTACCGTCAACTTCATTAACAAAAAATGTTACTATTAAATTTATTTTTTAAAATAATAATAATTGACATAAAAAATGTCATTTAAAACTAGTTAGGATTTAAGAATAAAAATTTTTTAAAATTAAAAGACTAAACAGAAACTTTATATAAAAGTTAGAAGATCAAATATGCAATTTTTCCATTTAAAAAATTGAAAGGGTGAGAAAATCTCTCTCAAATTCCACACATAAGTAATTTAAATATGAAAAGTCTCATAAAATTGCAAAATTATTCTGAAGTCACATATTATTTATTTAAATTATCGATTACGTACTGCAAGATATATATACATATATATATATATATATGTATGTATGTATATATATTTAACTTGAATGTAACAAGTTGATGTAAAACTTTAAAATAATTTCATAATTTCATAGAACTATTTTATATTTAAATTGTTTGTATAGGACACAAGAATAGTCTCCCTATAAATATTGTGAAGTTCGTTTGTTGGGGTGGTTTTTTTTTTTTTTTTTTAAAAAAAGAATGAGAATGAAGGCACAGCACACCAAACCTGAGTTGGATCCCGGAGAGAATAGAAGGCATTACTTTGCTTTCTGGATGATGAAACTAAAATCCCATAACCTCCTCTGCTCTCTCGCAGCACCTATATTTACAAATTCATGTATCACTCAATTTTAATCTACTAATTAATTTACTAAATCAATATTAACAAATAAATAATTAAACATCTCTGCCTACATTGAGTTTGGGTCCTCTCAAGTTTGAACCTCTAAATTCATCTACTTCAAGTACAATACTTTGCGTTATATATTTATGCCCAAATATACAAATTCATGTTATGTTAATTTCACAATTTTTACAAACTTTGGCAATATAATATTTGCTGCATAAGAAAAAAATGTTATAAGTTATGTTCGTTGAACCAAAAATTCCAAATTCAAATCTTGAGTATGCAATTACATTAAATATTCATTGAGAGAGCTTGCTACTTTTATAATTTAAACCAAGCTCAATTTGAATTAATTAGTGTTCAAAGGACATCGAATAATAGGTGCAAATGAAAAAAATGTTTTCTTAAAAAAGGAGAAATGTACCTAGAAAAAAGTGGAATATGTGTATTTCTCATTTTTCTTTCTTAAAAAAAAAAAAAAAAGACTTCTTACTAGAAAACACTTTTTGTTCGAGCATTTTTTGGGCCCAAATGGAGACAGCTCTCCTAAGTATATTTTCAGCATTTATACGAACTCGAGCACATGATCTCAAAGTTAAGTAGACTTTTTAACTATCCAAACATTTATGTTAAAAATTTCAGATACAAAAATATTATTCTACCAACACTACGTTGTTACGTTTAGGTACCTTGAATGCATCTTCATCGGTCTTATCATCTCCAATGTAAATGGCAAGAACATCATCTCGTTCACTTAAACCTGCACACCCATTTCATGTATGCATTTGATATATCACACACTTCATATATATATATATATATATATAACTCCACAGATTCAATATCATTATTATTAATTATCACTACACACGTACCCAGAGACTCAAGTAAAAATTCAACTGCTTTTCCTTTGTTCCAATCAATCACTGGACGAACCTCTAAAACCTATCACCCCACCAACAACACAAAACAGATATCACGTACGTAATAAGCACACTAATATATATATATATATATATATATGCAAAGCACATGAAATATAAACACAGACCTTTCGTCCATGTGTTGAGCGTAAAAGAGGGTAATCTTTTAACATGTCATGCACAAGTTGTCCAATAGCTGTCCAATTCTGCAGCCAAATTAATTAGTTCGTAAAACAGCTTGGAGACAAAAAGGAAAAAAAAAAAAACAAAGGTATTAAGAAGATATATAATTAAGTAGTTGGAGTAATTAATTACAGACACTTACCTTTTCTTCTACATTACGATAATGTACAGAAACGCAAAACTTGTGGTTCTCAACTTTCGCACCCTCTATATCTTTAGTAATCTCGACCAGCCTTTTAAAAACCTGTATGTTAACGTTGTACAGATAACTTCAAACTATTTCATGTTCCTTCGTCGTCGTCTTCTTTTCTATCAGTTTTATGAAATGTTGAGCTTGTACGTACACACGTACCTCGTTAATCATAGGCAGGAATTCTCTCGCAGGTTGAAACAGAGTTATCTCCTTTCCCTGCAATGTTTCAACACAAATACATTAAAACAAAGTCATCAAGCTCTCAATTCTTGTATGTATGTAAGTAAGTAAGTAAGTAAGTATGTATGTATGTATGCATGTGTATACCTGTTGGTCAGTGGACTTAACACAGTCTGGATGCTTATTGGACAGCGAGTGACAGGCAGGCCCAATAATGTCCATCCCATGACTACCAGCATAGTACAGTTCCGTTAGTTTAACTAAATCATAAACCTGAAAATTTACAAAACATGATCACTTTTTTCTGGGTACAAACAAGATGTGTTCTTTTTAAGAAACTTGCCCCATTCATTAATCACAGTACTGTTCCTGACTACACCTTGTCTCGGCTTCTTCCACTGATGATTGCCGTCGGAAAACACTTGGCCACACTCCTCACAACAGCTCGCATCTGATGATAACAATATATCATATCATGTGTCATCAATTATATATATATATATATATATATGATCAGACAGTTAAAATGCTTACGCACATCTTCAGACATGAAAGCACAATCTGGATCATCCACTATAGGTGAAAGAGTGCCATCGTAGTCTAGGAACATTGCAATCTTCTTGTCCGTTGCATGCTCTATCATTTCCTCAAAACAATCCAGTGCTGATGGATAATCAAGCTGAGGGCAAAGCACATCCATTTCACAGTTTGAATATATATGTATGTGTGTGTTATGAAATATGAGTTTAAAAGAGAGTTCATCCTAAAAGACTAACCTATTAGGTAAAAAATCTCCTTATATTTAAAAATTTTACTCTACTTGTGAGGATCCGAGAGCCGTAACAATGCCACCCTCTTTGAGAGTGGACATGCCCGATAACTCCACTCTACATCACTTCACTTGGTTTTAATTAGAAACCTCTAGTCTCTCAATGAGAGATCCAATATTATGAGTATGTCTCTCAATGAGAGAAACTAATGTTATAAGTACAAATTTAAAAAAAAATTCATCTTAAGAGATCAGCCTATTGAATAAAAGAGCCTCTTATACCTCAAACATCACTCCATTTGTGAAGACTCTTGATATAAGGTTCATGATAATGAAACACTTTTAACATGAGGCATTTTGACAGGCTCTCTACTCCATGGCACTTCAATCTCTTGTCAGTCAAAAACATTTATAGATAGCCGTTTCAATGACACTGACCTTTCAACGAGAGTACCAACATTAAAAGTACAAGTTCAAAGGGAGAGTTTATCTCTCTTCAAAAGGCTAGCTTGTTAGGTGCAATAGCACTTCACACTTATAAATCTCACTTCATGTGTGAGGCTCTCCCACGTAAAACTCGTGAAAATATATATGATGAAGTGTAGTGTGATGAAGGAGATCGAGAACAAACGTACCAGCCAGGAGCGATGGTCTTCCTCGGAATCGATGTTGTGAGAGTTGAAGCCACCCTTAGGTTGCTTCTTCCTGGGAGGTGAAGAGGCTTTCATGGCGTCGAGCCAACCATTGAAGCGAACATCATCAAGATTTCCTGAGCTTTTCCTGGAACTGTTTCTTGAATACTTAGCAGGAGAGAGTGAGAGTGATGATGATGATGATGAATCTTGCTGCGAGTAACTTATGACACCAGAATGCATTCCTAGTCTTGACTTGTTGATCGGAACAGGATCAGTGAGAACAGGAGAAGCATGAGACGACTTCAAATCCATTATTATTAATGAACCACACACACCTTCTTTGGACTCTCTGATTTATTATATTTTTCTTTCGTTTATCCGACTCTCTTGTCTATGAATAACCAACGCTTCATCAGTGTTATCTTATCACTGCCATTACTGGGTAACAAGTCCATCAACCTCTCTATGAAAAATCCTCCCTAGCATTTCATTCAAAGGAGAGTGTTGAACAGCTTCCACTAACCCAGAAAATTCAGAACCAAGTTCTATCTCTGCATGATGAAACCAAAAACTGAACTTCTCACAATTTTATATGAATGATATTTTATCAGACCTATAATTAGATTACGATGAAAGTTCATAAAATTAAATAAAACCAAAGAGCACATATTGCTTTAAGAGTTTCTGCTATAAATATAAGTTTAAAAAGAGAGTTCATTTTAAAAAAATTAGCTTGTTGAGTGAAAAAGATTTTGAATTTATAGATCTCATTTTACTTGTGAAGTTCATGATAACAATAATTAAAATGTGTAAAAAATGTTTTTTTTATAACAAAAAGTACATTGGCCGAGTAAAAAGAGTTGTCAATTTCATGAATGACCACATCTAAACAGTGAGAAGCATATGTAAAAGAAACACGCACAAGCATAAAGAGACAAAAGACATTTAGTACAGTACATCACAGTTTCCCAGCAATTACTGAGGGAAGAAATTTTTTAAATATAAAATAACTATTAAATAAAGAAATGAAGAAGCATAGCAAAATAAAGTTAGCTCCAGCTGGAGGTTGGGGATAAGGAAAAAAGGATAACAATTCAAATAAATTTTCATTAACCACACTAAGGAAAGATTGAAGATCAGTTGTTGATTGTTGATGATTGTGAATTACCGAGGAAAAATGTTGGATGAACATTAACGGTCTAATTTTCAATAACACTCTCTTTCAAGGGGGCCCCAAAAGTTTCAATTTCCAAACAAACACAGATATTTTTATCCGTACTGATGTATGCTAAGTACTAAACTATCTACATTTAGCAGAGCTCAAACCCAAATGATTGGTATATTATAGATAAATGTACTTTCATCTCGTTAATTACTTGAGACACTATATAATTATTGTTTCTATAGTCATTGAGAGTCCACTCAAAACAAGCACAAACAAATTAACATGGATGAGTGAAAATATTACACAAAACAGGAAATCCTGGAATTCTCGTTGAGATAATTATGTTTTCCGGGAAAATTCTGGGAGAGAAAATTAAATTAAAACACTGTTAGAAGGACGTCAAGTTTTTTTCCCTCCTTCTGGTTATTTGGTCACATCAATCAAAAGGTAGGCCACGGAAATTAAAAATATCAAAAACCAATATGACATTTCAACCTTATTTTTATTGGGACATGATCGATCGTGAGGGGAAAACTTTTCGCAAGCGTTGTCAAATCAATGTTTAATAGATTGACATTATAATTGATTAAATGAAATGATGATAATAATAATAATAATATAAAATAAAGGTATGGGGAACAATGTCGTCTGAAGAAACCAGTGAAATAATGGATCTCAATCCCAACATCAACAATAAATAAAAAAAACCAAAAGAAACAAAGAATCCATCGAAAGGCCTGTGTTTGTTATTCATGTTCACGGCTTAAAAAGACATAAACAAAGAAAGAACAAGGGAAGGAAATCAGAGATTCGTTTCTGCCATAAAAGGAAGGAACCTGTTACCAGAGACTGAAGCGATATATATATATATATAAAGATTCACATATAGGAGATAGCTAGAGACCCAGATCGTGGACGGATCTCGATTGCAGAAATAGAAACTTGTAACTTGAAGACGATCGAGATCATTCGTGTACGTATATGTATATATATATATATATAACAAGACACAGCAGTGAGACAGATATAGAAACAAGATCGAGGAGGCGTACCTGATCGATGTGCATATGGGTTGAGATTTCTGATCCTGCAAATTTGAAGCAAGAACGTAAGTAGCTAGCTGAGAAGAAAGTGATGATTCAGAGATTAATGTCAGGGACAAGGAAGGAGGTGGAAGAGAAGATAGAAAATGAGGAAGGAAAGGCCATATGCCCAGAAACTGGAAAGAAACAAATGAATGAACAAAGACGAGAAAATGGGGGAGAAAGAAGAACATAAACAAGCCAAGGGCTTAGGTATTTATATGTTTGAGGGCTGTGTGGACGTGCCTGTAGCTGCCAGGCAGTTTGAATTTTACCGCGATTCTCGTTAGATTTCGATTCTGTTAACTACATTAATTGTCCATTGTTTTCCCTATTATTATTATTATTATTATTATTATTATTATTATTATTATTAGTGAGAGAAATATAACTTTTCATCCATAAATTTGTTCTATATTATTAATTTAGTTGCTGAATTTTGACTAAAAAAATTTGTAAGAGTGTATATATATATATATATTGAGTGTGTCCTTACATTTTTTTAATTTTGTATAACTCAATTTCTATAATTCTTTAATTTAGTAAATTATAATGATAGAATTGTATTGAATTAAAGTTCAAGGATTAAATTAATTGATAGAAAATTTAGAAGCTAAAAATTGTGTTATCCATATATTATATATATATATATATATATTATATCAGCACTAATTTTGGAAAACCTAATTCGCTTGGATTGTTTTCAATTTTATGTTGTTAGTTAATATATGAAGAGTATATATTTTATATGACTGAATTTTTTTTTGGGTATGTGTATCATTTTAACTTGGAAATATTTTTACGACACAGAAATTTCTCATGTACTTACTCCTATATTTTATGTTAAAATATATTAGATCTCGATATCTTGTACATTGTATGAAAAAAATTATGTTAAAATTGTTATATCTTACCAGTTCCGTTTGGGGTGAATGGTACAATTTTTTTTTTTTGGGTCATGTAACTAAACGATCGAGAATTCATTATTTTAATGCTTATACATGAACTAAATTTAGTTAGAAAATTTTTATTTTTTATTTTTACCTTTTAATCTTAAATAAATATGATGATTGGTTTTCAACAGAGATGTTCCTTTAAACGTCTTTAAGATGTTCCTTTGAACGTCTTTATGAGGGGGGAAAAGAGAAAAGAAAAGTTTTATATTTTCATTTTTTTGTGTATTGATTAATTAAGCGTTAAAAAGCTCTCGTGTGGGCGATTGGTCCCGGCATGGCAGAGTTATACGATTTAGTTGACAGTTGGAGCAGTGACACCTGTGGGCAGGACGATGATGACGTGGACATGCGTCAGAGTGGGCGCCACATCAAAGCGACGAACAAATTTTGCGCCCAAGTCGCTTTCACGCAAAGCTGGCACTCGTCGGTGACAGAAATATGAATATCACCGTGAGGGACATGAACTTTTTTTTTTTTTTTTGTTTAACATAAAAATCGGTGTAGTATTTCATTGTTACTTTCCAAAAAGTAAAATATATTTTAATTGAATAAATATATTATTTATTGATCTTTTTTTAAATTGTTGAGAGTCCACGTGGGTAACGGAAAGCGCAGAAAAATGACGGGACGTGGAGGGGCATGAGATGAGGTGATGAATTTAGTGAAAAGTGGCTTTCCGGTGGAAAATAACGGAACCAATAAAAACAAACAAGAAAGCAAGATTTCACACATGGAATCGCTGCGGTTCGGTGTGGTGTCACGTGGCTCCTCATCCTAGCTGGCAACCAACTTTCACTTTCCCTTCCTCCTTTTTCTTTTTGGTATTTTTTTCTTTGTAGAAAAATAACGAAGTTCAGGTTTGGGGCGGTTTTATTAGTTAGTTTCAGATTTTTCAAAAATATAAAAAATGAAGGCATTTTTTTGTCAGAGTAAGAAATTAAAAAGAATAAGTGGTTAGTTGTTAGTTTCATGAGGAAGGGACTAGCAACTAGAGATGTTTATATATATTCTCTCCCTAGTCAACTTGATTTCATTTAATTATGTCGAAATAGGTCCATCCCAACATTAAAAAAAGAAATGAAAACTTGCATGATGGGATAGAAAAAAGTTCGGAATGTCCTATCCCATGTTGAAAATAATATTCATATTATCATTTTTTTAATTTTATTGATATGTAATATTTTATTTATCCAATGTATACATATTTTTGTTAATATGTGTGTGTGTTTTTTATTAATATGTAATAGCTTAAAACATTCAAATTGAAGAAAAAAAACTAATGATTTGATATTATACTTAAGTTTATTTAAGTTGTGTCACTCAATAATTTATTATTGTTATATTTGTAACTTGAAAGTTATTTACAGTTATTTTGTACTTGGCTTTATGTTATGATTATATTCTTTTACCTTAAATTGCAATTAATGTAACTCAATAGTTTAATTTATGACTTGTATTATTTTAATTTTAAACTTAGCAAGTTATATAATTTAATAAATATAGTTATTTATGTCTCTCTCTTATGTTTTGTCATTTATCAAGACATTCTAGTCTCATCCTAATCTTGAATGGGATGATATGAAACACGAAACAAAGATTTAATTTCATTCAATTTTTAAAATGGAACATGAGACACGAATGTCCAGATCTTATCCAATCTTATGAATACCCCTACTGGCAAGTAGCAGTATTGGAGGGACGCGATAAAAAATAGGTGCCATCTAGAAAAGTCTATGTATATCCTCTAATTTTTTTTATAAATTACTTTTAATATATTTTACTAAAATTTAATAAGTTCTAAATTTTGTCATTGCTAAATATGCATACTTTTTTCACATCACTATTTAATAGGAATAAAAAGAAAATTTGTGATAAAAAATTAATAACATGATTTATAAATAAGAACAAAAAATTATTCCTCCCTATCTTATAAATAGGATGGGGAAAGGTATATGCTTCGAAATTTGAAAATTGCAAAATTAGAACCAAACACATGCTAAGTGTAAGGTCTTTCTACTATTAATTAACTCCAAATTTAATGTAATCAAGGGAATATCCTAAAAAGATTATCAAGTGTATAAGTTTTACAAACGAGAATCCAAGCTTTTAAAATTAAAACACTTCAATATACCTTTATAATTTAAAGTTAGAGCCACAGATCTATGTGAAAGCATGAGATTTTTTCAAGTTAAAACATTTGCATAATAGTTAAAAATAACAAAACAGTGCAGAAAAGCTTACATGCACCGTGGCTACATAGCATGTCGTGCACAATTGTGGCATATGACACAGAGCCATTTCATTTTGTTTTCCTCACTTTTTGACATTTGATGGCCTAATTTCACTCCTAACTCAATTTTAGAGCTGAAAATCATAACCATAATATATGTTAACTCTTTATAATCATACACACATTAATTTACTTAATCAACTTTATTTCAAGATGTTATACTAAGCTTATAAAGTTAATATATGTGAAGTTTAATATAACTTTTCCTCGTGCATAAAAGTTTAAGGGAAATGACAAAATACTCTGAAATGGTAGTTATTTTTTAAAAAAAAGTGGTCAATTTTCAGAAAAAAGTTGTGATCATCTAATCAGTGTATAAATTATAAATGTGTAGAAAGAAAATAGTTATTTTCTTTTTTGTTTTATTCAATATCCTAACTGAAAAAGTCATTTTCTAATGCATAATAATCACTAAGGGTAAATATATCATTTCGTAAAAAAATAACAATAAAAAAGTTCCTAGAGACGAAATAATAATGATCAAATTTCATAGTATTTAATTTTCATTTGCATATTTTTATGATTTTTTTTATCATTCTCTCACAATTCAATCATTTGTAGTTCATTATTATAATTGTTTTATAAAGTGAGAATTCACTCTCATAGATTTCATAAAAATAAATGAAACTAGACTTAAAATTATTATAAGTATTAGAAATAATGAAAATTTTAGTCATTTTAAATTGTCTCAATTATTAATTTGGTCCTTAAATTTACTTTAGTTGTCGGTATGGTTTAAAAGAAAAATTTGTTGATACAAATAATGAAATATGGATGATAATCATGTAGATTAATAAAAAAAGTGTAATTATTTAGGTAGGAAAAAATAAGCTTAGAAATTAAAAAAAAAACAGGAGAATAAGATGTAGCAAAAAGAACTATATTGATAACCATTAAATTGATTTAGGTATAATATATTTTTATTTAATTACACATACATGACATGGCATCAATATGCTTTATACTTTAGGTTAATTTGAGAATCTATTTTTGTTTTCAAATTTAAAGGACTAACTTAATAATTTAAAAAACATAAAATACTAAATTAATAAAAATTAAATTTAAGAGATCTAATTGGTTATCGAGACAAATTTGATGAAATAAAAGTTATTATCCCAAATTTCTAATTGAAATTTAACGAGTTTATAATTTTTAATTAAAATGTCATATGTATGACTTGACTTGAGAATTTTCAAAAACTATGATCATATATATATATTCATCACAATATTATTCAAAAATTAATTCTTTGATAGAAATACTACAAAAAGAAAAATCGCCTGCATGTAATGTAAGCTTGGTTCACATAAATAGCAGTAAGCATCTGAACCCATTTCATACTAAAATCCAAAAATAATTTTGAAAAATGAGAACCAATAATAAGACAACCAGAATGGGTATAAAAATTATTAAACAGTAGTACACTAGAGAAGAGAGGAGACTGGAGAAGCACCTTTGTTCATTTTATTTATTTTTATTATTATTTTGATGTTTGTTGGGGATCGATGGTCGTCGGGATGGAAAGAGACAAGGCCACGTGGACCCCGGAGAGAGGACAAGCGATCCAGGCTGGCAGTGACAGGTAATGATGACGAGGCGGTGGACGAATGCTTCAGCGGAAGCAGCAAGTGACTGCGGTGTTACATGATCGATACCGTACTTTGGTACCCAACTCACTGGTCGCCACTTACCATAATACCTCAGATTCGCTTTCTTTTTTTTTTTTTTTTCCTTTCTTTGTTGCCCCTTTCTTCTTCTTAATTCAACAATTGACTTTAATTTAAATTTATACTGGTAATGTAGATTGGCTAACTAATAAAGACACGCTAATTTGTTTTGCAAAAATAGTAATAAAGAACTTTTATATAAAATTTATATTAATTAAAGATAAGTTGTTATCAAAACCTAAATGAAA